TTGCTGGTACCGGGTTACCGGGTAGCACAGACACAAAGGGACCCTTAGGGGCGAAGAAAGTCATTGATCGAGTTCCTAGTCCACATTTCAAGCGCCCTGAGCATCTTACATTAGATGGATTTGTGTGCTATATAAAACTACACTATTATCACTATTATTATTATTATAAATTTAAAATTATATTAAAAATTGATTTATAGGCTTTAAATTAATTTTTAATTAATCATTGGCTGAGCGGTTAAGGCAGGGGCGCCGCAACCTCAGCCATAGGCCCAATGTACACAACGGCTCGTGTGTACTATAAAGAAACCAACACATCATTGGAGACGAGTAGGGGGATACCCCGGTGTACTGGTACAGAAAGCCCCTATGATGGACGACGAGAGCTGATGGTCACAGTTTATCGGGTGGCGCACATACAGACACGAAGAAAGTCAGTGAACGAGCTACACATCAATCAAGCGCCACGACCTTGTTTGATGGATACCGGAGCCATACATATCTAAACTATTATCATTATTATTAAAATTTAGGTGGCAGAAATGTAAAAGATTGTAAAGGAATTCTATCAATAGCATTATATGATTAGGTTTACATAATTTTTTATTTAATAAATTGTTTAAAATACGGTCTTACCTCTGTAAACACCGGGGCAATCATCATTCCTAATGGGCTTCCTAAAGACACCAAGTTCGATATTAAAACGTATCTGTTGTGAAAATACTCGTTCAAACTTGTAACTCGTGCATTGAAAGTGAGCGTTGTACCAATTGCTAATAAAAAAAAATATCCATTATTTTCATCGTCATTTTTGTCACCATCCATCGTCGTAAGTTATCATCATTTATTATTTATTATTATTTATTTTTTATTTATCATTCTCCATCATTATGGATGATGATTTATGGCGAAGACAATGATGGTGTAAATTTTTAATTTTTCTACAAATATTTTAAGGGAAATATTTTAATAAACAATGTCAAAACCTAAATATTTGATCTAACAAAAAGTATTAAGGAAATATGGCAATTTCATGTTTTTTTTCTCAACAAAACAACATAAAAAGTGAGGTCAAAGTTCACAGAGGTCAAATAATATTTCCAGTAGCTTGGATTTTGTACCCCACAATGTGTACCGCTATGCCAAAGGCTACTACTGTAACATCTCAATAAACATATGTCAAGGCCTAATAATGAACTGTATTTTCCAGAAATATGAATTTTTACCTATATTTGCCCAAAAACGACTTTAAAGAATTTCTCAGTAAGCATTAGTTTTCATGGAAAACATGTATTGGAGCAGATATAAATGTATGTCTGAAAAATTTGACACCAAAATAATTTCTATAGACCTCGTTGCAGAGGTAAGACCATTTTATATTTTTGCCCAAAACATGATTTTTACTAAAAGCCTCGAGTAAGTATTTGGTTTCATACTAAAAGTTGTATTAGAACAAATATATATGTATGTGTTCTGAGCAATTTGAAAATTACTTCAATAGACCAAAGCGTTTCTTCAATAAAATATTAAAGAGGCCAAATCAGATGATATCCAGTAACTTGGTTTTGATATCCCAACACCATGCCCTATCACCAGGCAAAAGGGTAAATTTGCATCCACTAGTGTAATAACCCACCAATATTTGTAGGCTTAATGAATGGACTAAAAGAAGTTACAGCATCGCATAGTTCATTATCTTTTTATTTTATCTGAATCGAATGGCTCGCAAATTTACAAGTTAAAAAGCTCCACACCAGCACCTTTTATCCTGCCGCGGTTTCCAATCCAAAAGGCCTACCGGTATGTGCTCAAATTCTGTAAATAAAGAATTATTTTGGCAAGACTAAAACAAAATGTATCCAAACCTTCAGCAAATGGCCTATTATTCGCTGTTGTGTTTATTTTTTTTTTATTATTATTTTATTTATATATTCAGGCACACGCACCAAGGATTATCAATATCGCATTACAGCATAACCCTGTCCTCCTGTAGGTGACAATCCCTTTCACAAGACAAACATACACTCACGATGCTTTACACAAATCTCCACATGAGGCTTAGAAGGAGGATTTTTTTGGTCAAGAGAAAAAAAATCCTGCAACACTGACAAGAATTGAATCCATTACCCTGGGATCGGAAGGCAAGCATCTTAACCACCAAGCTATTCAACTTCACTCCATCTACTCAACTCCTCTCCGAATGAAATATTAAAAGTAACAATTATTCCAATAATTACGCAATATCAACCCATGACCAAACGCCAATTGGTAGATGTTAGTCGATAATGCTGATATGAACAAGCCCAGAAAACACATAATTCCTCCTATGAACATAGCTTTCGACTTCCCAATTTTGTCCACGGTCACGCCACATAAAATTTCTGTGAATGATATTGAAGTTCAATAATTAACAATAAACAATAAACAATAATGTTAATTAATTTATCTTCACTTATATAATATGGTAGCATGTAGCCCAAGTTATGTAATATTTCTTAGTTAATATAAATTCGTTTATCTGTTGTTTTAATGTCTAAAATTGGTCAGATTTTTATTCTCTAACGACTATTTTCATCCAACATTTACGTAGCTTTTGACTCATACAACATACAGACTTTATCAAAGAATAGAGCGTGCCATGAGAAAAAAAAATTGTGTGAAGATATTGGCATATCGGTATGTATGAGAATTGTCATAATTAGTTCAGTCGTAAGTCACAGTAATTGTATAGAGAGTAATATCATTTTTAAATGAAGTATTATCAACAGTATATTGTAACTCACCGCTCAAATAAGACCCTGCTATCGTAAAAGTTCCGACCATTGTCACTATATGGCATCCGAAATAGTCAATCAGAAACGGTTCAAATATACCAAATATAACATTAATCACAGACACTTTAAATACTGAAGTAATGAACAATCCTATAAATATAACGACTTGTTGGTATTTGCTCTTTAGTGTCGTTCTACCCATAGTTTCTAAAAATGTGAATGAATTATTCCTGAACTTGATAAAATAGAGACCCGGGTAAATGATTACCTCGTCACAGCTGCCAGTGTTTATAAAACGTTTAATTTTCAATGACCGATTCTATGTCACTCAATATACCAATCTTTCTAGATTGTGAAATTACTAATTTTGACTAATTAACATACAGTATGGGGTCCTCAATTATTTGGTGGGCCGAATAAAGGTAGTGGTTTAACGTTGCGGCTCGGTTGTGCTTCATTATTGGATCAATCCCTGGCTATATCCTATTACACTTGTAGTGTGTCTGCTGTGTCAAGAGCATGTGGTGTGGCTATGGGTGCGCGGGACTGAACGCTCCACCCCCAAAAAGAGTATTCGTCTCCTCCCCATTTGCACCGCTGCTCCAAAAATCACACTCAAGTATATAAATATCACCTCAAATCAACAAATTTTGCGAGCTAGCGCCCCCAACCTTCGAGCCCATTCACTTCACCTTCGCGCCCCATCAGCATCCTCACCATTTTAATACTCCTAAAAATATGCTACTACTGGTCATGAGTTGTAGGGCTGATGGACCGTGTAAACTCCATCCCTTGGAAAACGGTGTGTTTAAGGCCAACTCAGACAGCGTCGGCCGACGCAGCCCGACCCGATTTATCGTCGGGGACAGTCTTAAGCCGTCGTGAGAAATATTAAACACGTTTAATATTCTACTATGCGACTGCTCCCGACGCACACCATCGCGTCTGCGTTCAACTCACACAGACCCGACGCGACAACAAATCGCGTCGGGCTGCGTCGGCCGACGCTGTCTGAGTTGGCCTTTACAATAAACATTCAATGATGTATCTTTTTTTAATAGTTTCCAATTCCAAACCATACCGGTACTGGTAATCAAGGGCACAGATCGGTTTTGAAAGGTGGGGGAGGGGGAATTTCGTGAGACCATTTGAGGAACTTTAGATGGCCGGAAATGACACTCTTATATAGTAAAACTCATTATCATCACCATAATTTCTCATGATCTTTCATCAGCGATTTTCGGCAACCATAGAGATTAATGTGTGTGGTTTACCATAGAAATCAAACTTAAAGCCTTGTCTTTGATGTAAATACTTTACTTTACTTTACCTACTTCAAAGCCGTGAATCTCAGTCACAACATGGTTGGGGCTGAGGTGCGAACATTTAAGGAAAGAACTTATGGCCGGAAATCACACTTTTATATAGTAAAATTCATCATCATCACATCACCATAGTCACATGATCTTATATCAGCGATTTCGGCAATCAGAGATCTAAATAATTTGTGTAACCTACAATTATTTCAATGAATAAAAACATTCTAGATCGAAAAAAAACCCCCATAAAATCAATGAAATACAACTGATTCTCATATTTCTAAAGTACAGTAGTGTGTGATAGTATAACCGTATAATAAATAATTATAACTTGAAGCATACTATGACTTGTATAATAGAATCCATGATTCTAATCTATTTACTTTAAAAAAAAAACGCATATAGTAAACATACATATCTACACTTTATTATATACACATGTAAAGACGAACATAAGAACTGGCTCAGCTCTGAAACAAAAGAAACCTAATACTTTAATGTTTACATATTTCATTTGATTGATTAGGTATCGTCGTATTTAACTGAACAAAGTCAAATGCAGAATTTCAGTAATTTAATACAGTATACTGCAAAAATAAAGAGGAGTCGGCTCCTGGATGAACGCAGCCCATCTTATACATGCGCTAGATATACAGTAATATAATAGAGGAGGAAAGCTTATATTGACAATGCCAGCCTTCAACTGGGAGAGGTTTTCATTTTACTTATGCTTCGATGGTAAGTTATGATGATGATGACGATGGTGATGATGCTGGTGATTGTGACAGTGATGATGACAATGATGATGATCAGTGTTGTTTTTTTTTTCTTTACTTCTTAGCCAGCCACGGGTACAACTCCTCTTTCGTAATATATATTGCTATAGACCTAACGTCTTCGGAACGAGTTTTGATCGGATATCAGTTATTTAGTAATATTCTCAGATGGATCCACCCGAGTGGGAGATTTAATGGGGACTCAGCTGGCTATTCCCCTTCCCCCTATTTTTTTTCTTTTCATAATTATGAAAAAATGGAGTAAAAACAGAAAATTATATTTCAATTAAAGTCTGAGAGTGCCATTTCCGGCCATCTAGAAGTGCCATGATCATAGATTCCTTCCCTCAGCCATACCTGGCATACATCCTCTATCTTTAAAAGCCCCTTCCCCTGGGTACCTTCAGTTTCAAATTCCTGGATCTTATATATTTATTTTTATTTTATTTATTTATTTTATTTATTTTTTATTTATTTAAAACATCTTACAATATGGCCCTGCAAACACACAGTACAATAACAACAACAAAAATTAACCAGCACAGTACAATAAAATACACAATAGTAAAAACTTTGGTGGAAAACTATCCCCCGCCAATGGATCCGCCATTGCACCCAGTAAAGTCAACTGATCTTTCTAGCTCTCTGCAGAGTTGAAGAAAGCGATAAAACATTAGTTGAGATATCTCTGTATTACACGTCATCGACCGTCTAAAATTAAGCATAAGAAAAATCACAGACGTGGTAAACATACGATCAAAATAGTTTCATTACAAATAATGATCTAATGGGTCTTTGATTAAATTTACTAAATAAACTGCTACTACGGACTCTCTACCACCACCACTACCATCACCACCACCACTGATAATACTAATAATAATATAATAATAATATTAATGATAATAATAATTATAATAAATAATAATAATAATAATAATATAACTATGATGAAGATGATGATAAATGATGATGATAATAACAACAACAATAATAATAATAATAATAATAATAATAATAATAGTAATAATAATAATAATAATAATAACAATAATAATAATAATTATTATTATTATTAATATTATTATTATTATTATTATTATTATTATTATTATTATTATTATTATTATTATTTTCACCTCCTGTACTAATTCTACAACTTTACTGATAGTTCCTTGTTGATTCCTATCGCTATATGTGTTGTTGTCGTAATAGTCGTCTATTGTCTTCTTTGTTTTTTGAGCTTCTAGTTTTGAAGATGTCGTGCTAGAGTCTAGAGATAAAATGAAAGAGTCAAAATTTTATCAGTCAATGTTCGCAACACAGTTTCAATTGAAATACGTACATAGGAAACGTAAAAGCAATTAAGCCAGGGGGGGGGGGGCACACATTCTGTCAACAACCGTCGTCCGACGCTATTCCATACGGAGGCGTGAGCAACGGGTCATTTTTTAATGACAATCTGCTCAAGCTACCGTACCACACTCGATCTGCAGAAGGTGTCAACGTACATAAAATATGTGCCGGGCATTTACAGTCCAGTAACATGGCCGGCGGAACCGGGGGGGGGCCGTCCCTCCCCCCCACTTTTTGGCAAAAAATATACAATGTCTGGAGATTTTTGTATGATCGGAAATGCAAGAAAAGAAGGAGGGAAGAAGGAGGAGAAGAATGCGAAAGAGATTGTTTATCCAGTACCCGACCGAGTTACATTTTCTCGCAATTCACATTGGCGGATATGGGGAGGGGGTCATGGGTCCTGATCCCTCCCTTGGGCAACAAAAAAAAGGGGGGAAAAGAAAAATAATTCTAGACCTACCTTTTCAGGACCCGTTAAGCTGAATTTGTTTTTTTTTTTTTGTTTTTTTTTTTTTTTTTTTGTTCCATTAAGAAAATTTGAATTTTGAACAACATAGAAGTCATTAAAACACACTTCAAATGTCGGGAAAACTCATTTCCCGCCATTTGGAATCAAAATTTTCAAGGGGGAGAACCCCTGGACCAGCCTTTCTTTTTGGGATTTATCGATTCATGGCAAAAAGAATACGCATGCAACTACTCATTTGTTTATGTATGAAAACACACATAAAATAAAAAATGAGAAAAATTTACCTGACTGTTTTCAAGAGGGGAAAACCTTGAACTTAAAATACATTTCAGAAGTCAGGAAAGCTCATTTCCCGCCATCTAGAAATCGAAATTTTCCCGGGGGAGAACCCCTGGACCCCTCCTTTTAGGGATTCATCGATTCATGGAAAATTCGTATGCAACTACTCATTTCTTTTAAATTTGTATGTATGTATACACACATAAGGCCTATTTACTGAATAACAATGGTAAAAAATTACCTGACCGTTTTCAAGAGGGAAAAACCTTAAATTTTGAAGAACTTAAAAGTAATTAAAGGCACCCCAGAAGTCGGGAAAGCTCATTTCCCGCCTTCTAGGAATCGAAATTTTCCCGGGGGAGGCCCCGGACCCCCTCCTTTTTGGGGTTCATCGATTCATAGAAAATTCGTATGCAACTACTCATTTTTTTTTAAATGTTATGTATGTACAGACACTTAAGGCCTTTACTGTAATAACAATGGGAACAAATTACCTGACCGTTTTCAAGAGGGAAAAACCTTGAATTTTGAAGAACTTAAAAGTAATTAAGACACCACGGGAGTCGGGGAAAAGCTCATTTTCCGTCATCTAGGATGGACCCCCTTTTTCTTTGGCGCTTATCGATTCATTGAAAAAAGAATACGATATGCAACTACTCATTTTCTTAAGGTATACACACATAACAGGCCTATTTACTGTAATGAGAAAGTTTACCTTACCGTTTTCAAGAGGGGGAAAACCTTGAATTTTGAAGAACAAAGTCATCAGACACTTAGCTCAAAAGTAGAGAAAGGTCATTTCCAGCCATCTAGAAATCTAAATTTTCCCGGGGGAGGAATGTTGACCCCACCACCTAGGTTTGATTACCGATCTGCATGATTCATATTCCCATTCATCTTATAAGTGGGCCCCCCCCCCCCTCCACTTTAAAAAACGTTCCGCCGGCCCTGAGTAATCATCGACAACATTTAATTGAATCAAAATTGAAGAAGTATATATATTGGGTAAGGCTATTATGTTATCATCCAGATATTTCATCCGGTAAAACTTCAGCAAATTTAGTACATTAACTAGACTACCTTCGCTTTGTTGACGTTGTATTTGGCTGGCATGCCGTTCGTTTTCCTGGTCTTCTTCAGCCTTCTGTATCAAAAGAGGAGTTTGCATTGTATAATGATATGCTACTATACGGTAGTGAAAAAATAGCCATATAATTACGTCATTGCAGCAAACACCAATCACATCTCTGCAGTATTTTCACTCCGTAAAACACTGCTGTGTCTATACCCGATCAAGAAGATGCCATTCTATCGCGTCACTGGAATCTGTCGGCGATGGCATGTATCGACTTTATGGAATCCATAATTGGTGTTCGAGAGTCGGTGGTTGAGCCTACAGGTACGGTACCTGCTAAATGGTAATAATTGATGGGGATTTGTAGTGCCAACTTGGTCTCTGCGCTGATGCTTCACAAAACAAAAACTGACACCACGAAACTCATAAAACTACAGAGGAGCCATCACCATTGCATCGTTTTCTTGCAATAAGACCACTAACAAGCAGTGGTTTGCAAGATCATGACTCCCAGATGCTCAAATGATAATGGCATCTAGTTTAGAGCCATTTAGATTTAAAAGATTTCAAAAAAGACATTAAAACGAAGTAAAAATTTGAATTGCAAAAATTACAACAGACAATTATATCAGAACATCAAAAAGTATGAAGGTAAATTCAAATAAAATGTTTAAGCTACAATGACACAAGAAAGTGCAAGGGACCCAACGAAGGACATAAACGACATAAGCAAACACGGAAAGACATCCGGGAAAGGAAAAAACACACATGGGAGGTTTCGCCAAGTGTTGCTATAAGAGAGAGTTCATGAATAAGAGAAAGAAGAGAGAGAAAAAGATTTTTTTTTCTTTTCTTCCCTTTTCCTCTCTTTATAGCTTTCCTTGTCGCAGACATTGGTTTATTATTTATTGTTATTAAGGATCCTGACCATAGATGATACAAAGCTGGAATAGAACCTCTCTGTTTTACACTTGAATTAATTGTATGTATATTAATGCGTTTTGACATAATATTGTAAGTATTATGAGATTTTGGAAACCAGGAATTAAAACGATCAGATTTAAATGATTTGATAGCAAAGCGGTTAAAGAGAGTCTGCGGATAGAGAGCCTTAATATATAGATTTCATGTCGAAAGATTGAAAACGTTAATAAAATAATATTAAATACCTACCAATGCGGCTTTTCTTTCAGCATCAGATGCCGCGGCTGCCTCCAACGTTAGCTGAAAGTTGTCGACTAACACGGCAACGAACAAACTCAAGAACAAAATGTACAAAATAATGTTATAAGCCGGTAACTTTATTTTTAAAGTTAAATGTTACGATGTAAACAACATGAAACCTACCTTACTAAGCGATAGTTCAAAACATTTCAACATGCTTTTTTTTTTCTTTTTTTTTTTTACGTTTAGAATCATCACGAAGCAAAATATAGGTTGGACCAATGGAATTCAACAAAAGGGCGCGTAGAATGTCGAAGCCAGAGTTAAGACTTTAGTGTTCCGAAATTAACGTCTTTTTGTTGAATTTCCTTGGTTTCACTAAATCAGGAAATCGGCATACCACCAAAATAACGTCTCTATGAAAATTGTCATACGTTCATTAACCACCGTCATAGATATTAGGCAAAGCTAATAGTTTGTTCCCAATTTAATGAATCTATTTTCATCGCACTATATACCGTAATATGTACAACGTTAAGACATATAGGCCTATTGTTATACTAATGCAATAAGTTCATAATCAATTATATATGAACTACGGTATAAGCATTCACAAGCAAACATTGTGTACAGTAGGACTTCGGCTTAATCTTAGAACAATAATTTTTCAAAAAAAAAGTATACATACTTTAAAAATATAAAGTATTCGGTGGCAATGTACATCATAAGGTAAAATATTATATGGAAAGACCCTGTAAAAAAAAGATGAAAATTATATTTATTGACTGATGATAGGAAAGATATTCAATGGGTTATTACACTTATTATCTTATTATTGATTTCAAATTACATAATGATAATGACGCACGTGGGTCTCTTTCTACAGCATCAGTATAGATGTAAAACCAATCATCTAGAGTCAGAAGTTGGAACATTGTAAACATTGCTGACGTTAAATTGCCGAACCTATCGGGATCCACTTCTGCATATAGGCCACGCCCAATTACTGCAAACATATCTGCTGTTTATTAAGGATTCTAATACATTGTTTATGTTGTTTTTTTTTAAAGAAAAATATACCTAAAATCTTACTAGAAACTAATGTCAATAACAATATTGATAAAGTAATTGAGGTGATATTAATAACAACATTGAAATTCGTAATAATGGTAATAATATTTTTTTTTAATTATCTATTAATATATATCTATAATTATATTATAACTAATGTTAATTCATAATACTGAGTCACTCTGAGCAAATGTTCAAAAGTGGATTTTGGCGCCATACAACGTTTGACAATAATTGATTGATTGATTACTGTTTTATAGCGCCCTAATTATGGCGTTATAACGGCCCATTACGACGTTATAACACCTTTATCACGGCGATATAACTCCCAAATTTGAGGTATAACCTATTCAGATAGCCGTTTTGGCATGCTCTAATTTTAATAGATCTATTATTTGAAACGCCAATCGGAATTTTCGCGTTATTATAATATGGTTTTTACCATTTTATTTATTTCAAAAAGTTTAACATTCGCAACAACAGAACAGCAAGGAGCAAGCACAAAAGAACACGAAATAGCAATAACCCAAAAGGACAGATAAACGTCCTTGATTGTTTGTATGATAAGCAAAGATTATCTGTATAGGTAAAGTTCCTTTGTGTTAGGCAAGCATTATCTGTACAAATAAAGTCCTTGACTGTCAAAGCAGTGACTATTTCTGTTGAAGTCCTTCAATTTAACAAGACTGAACCCGGAGGCTATTCCTCCTCAAAGAATACTTTTAAAAATGCATGAATTTATTTATTTTGATCTATTATTCTGTTGTTGGTCCAGTTACCTCCTGTAATAGCTTGAATTTTTCGTGCTGCTTTACAGTCAAATACTCCGAGACGCATGAAATAATAGGGGCCTATCTGTTACACAATTCGTGCCTACACGATTAAGCATAAAATTCAACCTGCGCAAACTATAGTGTTCACATTTTGGATAAAAATGAAGAAGGTAAGTTACCCCACTGTTGGGGTTTTCCAAACTAATAGTGAGCCCAAACTGTTAACAAGCGTCTGGGAAGCGATCGTATAGTCTGTGAAGGGTTCCCTACCCCTGTGTTGGTTGGCGGCTTCATCAGCAAAATTTTCGGAGCACGGATCTAACTTGGTAGGCCTATTCGAGCGCAGTCATCCCAAGTCCCAGGAACTTTCCCATCAGACTACCTGGTGTGCAATTAACCGTCATCAGCGGATGAAACCAAAGGCGTCAGACATATATCATGGAAAAGAATAGGGCCAGAGGCCTATTTCAAAAATGGTAGGCGAGTACTCTCAACATACAGCTCTGTGTTACGCCATAGTTGAGGAGAGGATCAATCATAGAGAGCTATTTCTTTCATATTGTAATAGAAGAAGACCAACATGTCACGAAGTTTTAAGAGGCAGACGATTGTTTAAAGAAGCGAATTGTCCTTTCCTTTTAACTAGAAAACACGCCTTGGTGAAGTCCGACCTCACCAAGTATCATTAGTGAGGCTGTATTTTGCTCTTCTCTTGGAGCTCTCACAGCCCACATAAAGACAGTATTATGCCGTTACACAAGTCCCCATTATAGATCCCATACGAACAATATATATTTCAAGAAGCACTTACAGAGATTTTTTTTTTATTTTTTTTTATTTTCGAACCTTTTTGATTGGAGTTACTGCTTTATTGCATTATTTAAGTTTGTACATTTTGTTTGGATTTGGTTTGTATGAAAAATCTGCTCGGGGGATTTTTTGACTTATGGAGAGTTGCTTCGTAACTGCAAGGAAAGGCGCCATACAAGTAATAATAAAAATCGCTACACAATCGCAACAGCGTCTCCAGTACAATCCTTGCAATGCGTGCTGTTCCCAATGCAATCGGGAACGCTCACCCTGTCGGTGACAGCAGTGTCAGGAAGGTTGAACCTGGTTCAACTTAGCCGATTACGATCAGGGTGCATTGCGGGGAATATTTTTCTGTATATTTATTTTTTCTGTATATTTAATATTTATATTGTTGATGTTCGTTCTGATGTTGTATATGAAATTATATTTAAAGAATTGAATTTACATCTCAAAAAGCATTTACAAATGTCTGATTTTACTTTTGTGCAGTATTCGTTTTCTTTATTTTTTTTATATATGGACAACAGATGAAATTGAATTGAATTGCATTTACAAGAGGTGGTGCATACTGAAAAAGAATATTTTTTTCTGTATATTTATTTTGTAGGTAAGCCCTATATTGTTGATGTTCGTTCTGGTGTTGTGTGACTGCAGTTGTCCGCCAACTTGGTACGCTTTTCCTGACAACCGTTGTATAAAGGTCGTCCAGTCCGATTTGTTAACACTACACCCAGACGCCGATGATGTTTGTGCGAAATACGCTGTTGGCACTGGCATCGCACGTTTATTGATCCCTCAATCCAATAACGATTTCAAATTGTTGGCAGTTGGATTCCCGTGGATTGGTCCTTACACACTAGGATGGAAGCTGTTAGTGGACGAAAGTATGCCCGGAACTGTAACTGTTATTAGAGATACAGAAGGGAATACCGTACCTGTTATACCTGACTACCCATCTCTATCCCCCATGCTAACCGGAACTGAGCAGTGTGTTTATATCGACGACAATGTTGTTCAGAATGGATGTATGAATTCAGTCGGTTATATCTGCGAAATGAATTCATGCGGCGGATATTAGGCCTAATACATCGATCTACGTTATAGTATTATCACTATTATCGTCTAGGTTGGAATAATTGGGTAATAGCATGAATTGGTAGATTAGAAATACAAGATAGAGGCCCTCCACAGTCCGATAGAATATTGTGATTCGATGCTCCGCCATCCACTTCCTGCCTTGAATGCGTAAAAACTTGGCTGAGAAAGGCCAATAATATACAACTCCTGTCTGGATACCGGTATATATAACACATTCGAGTTATAGGCTTACATCCAAATAGGAAAACCGAATTAATTAATATTAATTACAGATTATTTAAAAATTCTCACCATAAGTAATTATTTCAATCAAATATGCAATCTTTTTCTCGCCGTAATGTAGGCCTACATTACTTTTTTGTGTGTGTTTGATGTTATGAGGTTACCAAACCAGAACCTTGTTCCTCCTTGGCTTCGCCCTTCTCCCTTATTTGTTTATGAGGAAATTAATATACTGTTATTGTCAAACTTTAACAATATAATTCAATTTTTTTTACTATTGCTTATCGTACTTCGTAGACCTATATTGACGTAAGTTATTAGTTTTCAATTAAAAAAATACCATTGTAGGAAAAAAATGAAAATGACAAATATCACATCTAGATGTGTATAAGAGACAGATGGACAGTGGGTTTCTGTAAACAACATACAAGCCTACCGACATGGGTTATTAAGCTACTACAATGTTTGCTGTTACAAACTAATGAAAAACGAATTTTTCATATCACAGTTGCTGCCAATAATGTGGCCATATGTAAATATTATTATTTTCGATTAAAATATATTATTGTAGAAAAAATGAAAATGAAAAATATTTACCGTACATCGCCAATAATTATAATCGTTATACAATGCGCTCTCGTATTCTTTCTGTTGCATTTGGACAATTGGTTTTCGTAAAACAACATACATACATGCCTATCGACGTGGGTTTAAGCTACTAAAATTGTTAATGTGGCAAACTGTATAAAAAACAAATATTTCATATCACATTTGCTGCCAATCACAGTAGACAATATAACATATAACATGGGTTAGAGACTTCTGAAAGTCTAATTGGTGATATCAAAGAGTATAAAACTGCAAGAGGTCAGAATACAGGGGATTCGTTGGAACGCTAAAAACTACTTCCACGAAAGGGCGTGGCCTTTAAAAGATTCGAGCAACGCGTACGATTTTCTAACTTATATTTAGGGCGCCCCCTATTTTGTGGCAGTACTTTTTTAACGCTCCATTGCCTGCATACAAAATCAGGGCAGTCGGACCTCTTGCAGTTTTATACTCTTTTGGCGATATGAATTGCTCAAAATGCTCGGGTTCTGTCAAAGATACTAATAAAAGGATACACAGAAAGAGGAAAATTAAAGAGACGATCGCTCCCATAGATTGCATAGACTGGAGACATGTATTCATAATAACCTGCAAGCTGTTGAGAAACCTGTTTGGAGATTTAAAAAAAAAAAAAAAAAAAAAAAAAAAAAAAAAAAAAAAAAATTTGCATCTGCTAGTGTTTTTATCGTTTCATTTCTAACTAGAGCAGTATACGCAGACCGTGTATGATGGGCGAAACTGCACCAAGAAATTGTCGTATTCTCAAACTACGTATTATTGTCTAGAATATTATTGAACAGAGCACTGTCCATTATTTTCTTTTATGCTCGAGGGTAAATATCGAATAACCTTGACCTTGTTCTTGGACCCTTTAATTCGAAAATGGGATGGTCATCGCTTTCTTCGATTATTATGTACCATTCCAATACGTTTTATGACGATCCATTTCATTAGTTTGCGTAATCTTGCTAACAAACAAACAGACAAAGACAGCGCGGTAAACACATAGGCCAGTCTCTTCTCTGGCGGAGGTTTATTTTCAAATTATTTAATTGGGAATGCAGACGTAACTGCATACCGACTTTAGAAGTAATGAAATTAATGAATTGTTGGGATTTTCATATTATTATCATTTGTTTATCTTATTCGTGATATTTAGAGTAAGCCCATTAGCTCTCGTTTGTGCCGGGCTTTAGATTTAAGATAAAATAAGATGGTAAACTTTATTGCCTTAATTCAAGCATGTAAACATAAAATTATTGGACTTGGATGCAATTTCAAAAGATAAATAGTAGGCCTATAGTCAAAGATAAATCCTCAAAATTGCCCTTAGCCCTTACAGCTAAAAGGGATCGTCTCGAAATAGAGAAAATGAATATAAAGAACGTGGAAAACAAATCACACATTACGTACAAAAACATGCGCACGCAATAACATACAGATATACCACCGGCACTAGGTCTGCAACCACATAAATCAGCAGAACCCTCACCGGCGGAACATTAAGTTATTGGTTTCTTTTTTTGTTTTTTTTTTGTGGTTGTTTTTTTTTTTTTGTTTTTTTTTTTGTTTTTTTTTTTTTTTGTTTTTTTGTTGTTTTTTTTTGCAGTACGATACTGTATTTTTATTTCATATCCTCCGTTGATGCCAGTAGAACCGGAGCTTTTTAATGTGAGAATTAATTTGTATAAAGAAATGCTAGTTCGGTCACGTTAGATCATGTTACAATAATTTCTGAGATATAGGCCTAGGCCTAGTGGTATTTAATCCGTCCCTGTAAAATAATAATATTAATGCGGTTTAAACAATTGGTATGTAACCGGCCTCGATTAATGACCATTGATTGTATTCGTTGTAGTCTTCACAGGAGTGCGAACAAAATCGTTCGTGTTTCTCACCTTACGGTACGAAGCACTCGTAAAGCTCTTAGCGCCCTCATTGCCCGCAGAATACCTAGAAACTGTAGTATGTTCACTTCACTACCCAAAATAACGGGAACTAAGAGATCTGCAATGTTACACATTACGATCACAAAATCTAAAAAAAAAGAAAAATATTATCATAGATATGGGAAATTTTGAGCTGACCAAATGGATATTGATTGACAATCTGCGGTACAATAGCCATCACAACATTAGAAAAAAAAGTTAGGGCTTGCATGTCACCAACCAACCACTATAAACCGAATACCACATACCGACTATGTTCCACGCCTCCCTGAAATAGTCCAAACGCCATACGTATAGCTTGGCGACACATTCCAAGAAGTAGATTACAAGGAATATGTAATCTATGAACGTCGTGTACCAACCTAAAACAAATCAGAATGACAATGTATAAATAATATTACCGATATAAATGCTGATAGATTAGTCATATCATCGTCATCATCATAGATAGGCAATGACATTTAGGCCTATTATTATTATCAAATTGTTACATCAAAACGGCTGTGTCATTCCTAAGAGAACGCCAACGTTTTCAAGACTCGACCGGCCTATTTCTATATATAAACTTAACTAAAATTAACACAAAAAACCCCAAAACGAAACATAAGCGCAATTTTTTTTTACTAAAGCTCTGTCCACACTATCAAATTTGTATGTGACAAATTTGTGTGATGTGGGGCATGATGATGTCATATTGCACGTCCCCACGGGCATATCGCAATTATTTGGTTGTCACATAAAATTGTATTGTGTGGACATAGCTTAGACATATTATTTTTGGTTGTTCGAGTTCCATTGGGCTCCGCCACCTAGTTTAATTTCTATTTTTAAGCATCTCTCAAGATGATTATCAAATTTTCTTGGACAAAAAACTGTTGTATGCCAAATATAATAATGATGTGCCTAATGTCATAATGTGATGTCATCATGACCATATTAGGCATTTCAAATAAAATTTGATAGTCTGGACACGCTTTATGTAACTTACCAATACGAACGGCTATTATTTCATAAGTCAGAGCACAGAGGATGACCGTATTCAGTAGGATTACGAACATGATGAAGCCATTAAAAAGCATTGATTCAGTAAAATCATACATCAGCTTATGGAATGGCGACGCGTTTTCAAGGCGTTTTTTCTTCTTCAGCTCTTTTTTCAATATCTCCTGTTCTTCCTTATCGTTAATTTTGACAGATTCGTATACATTAGCGCTTGGAATAATCGATGTTCTACGGTGACTCATTTGTCTGGCCAGTTGGCTAGGAGGCTCTATATGCGGAGTTTTGATGTGATGCTTGTAAAGTGACAAGTTGGAGTGCATCCTTGAATTTTGCATAGAAACCGATTGATTCACGGCATTGAACTTCATGGTTTCCATTGTTTGGCAATTAAGTTTGTTTACTGTGAAAAAATCGAAAACCAATCATTGCTTAAATAAATATTTACAATTATTTTTAATTGAAAATTATTATAAAATTGTTATTATTATCATTATCATTTTATTATATTTTTATTTTACTTCTTATAGCGGATCATTTTGTTTTTGTTTTTTGTTTTTTGTTTCAATGAAAGTATGAGATGTGCTCTTAAGTTCATGTCTTTGATTTAATAGACCTTTCCGGAGTGTCAGTCAAACTTAACAAC